GAAAATCCGTGACCTCAGAAAACGTCCACGAGAGGGATGTGGAGGATCAGGTCAGCCGGCTCTAAAGCACAATTGTCCTGGCTGCGGCATTGTAATGTTTATGGTTGCGGGCCGGAGGTAGCATGATGGCGAAACAGGCATGCAACCAAGGGTTGTACCGCGTACCGAGGGTCTTGCAGGCTAGTTTACATGCATCGTCGTTCCACGTGACAGTCGAAATTTGAAATAGCTGCGAAACTGGGAACCACCGTGCCGGCACGCACTTAGGCCCCATAATTTTGTTTAAACTTATAGACCAAGGTGCACGCTCCGTGCCTGCACTTGCACACGGGTCTTACATTCAATTACAGGTACCGAGCTCGTGTCCACCCTGACGAACGCAGTGGCCGAAAGGATCAATTTGTACGGGTTAATTTAACGCCGTGGAGTTAATTTAACGCTCGTTGCGTTAAATTAGCCCAATGCTCCTTCCCCGGGAAGAATTACAGGAAGTAAGCCGCAATTGCCGGTGAAATTGGCACATCGTGCCGACTATGTCGGCGATCACCAGACCGAAAGCCAACCCGATCGCTCTCTAATTCGCCGTCGACTTTGCCGGACTTCGAGAACGATTCCGCCGATCTGGGCCGACGAGATCTTTTTTTGGCAAATTGCGGAAAGGGCGAAATTAGAGAGGGAAAATATAAGAGCGGGGGAGGAGAACATTCGACGGCTGGCCGAGTTTCCTTCCAGGAGAATTTTCTCTCCAGACTTTCTTTCCTGAAGAACGGACGTTTTTCTTCAGGTGGATTATTTCAGGAAATCGGGGGGAAAATCGAGATACCTTCAATGTCGGCCGGTTGGGTTAATTACGATTTTGTGAACCCCATGTAACGACCTAACCTGACTTAATGGGTCGCGCGTCAATTCCCTGATGAATACGCGAAAGTCACCGGTTTTTTGTTCAGGACAGGCCGAGTGTTCGCGGACTTTTTCACTTTCCCCTACGCCTCTCTCATTGTGTACTCGCCGCCGTAATTCCCAGTGTTGCGAGTGGCAGATCGTTAAAGCGACGCGTTGACGATTTTCCTTCCTCCCTGCACTTTGCTGTCCACTTTGTTCACGCCCGAAGGGAGCAATGAGCGCGCCAAGTAGTGGCTGGTAAAAGGGCCAAAGAATTGCATCGGGCGAGGACCTATTTGTTAAACGTGTTTAATTGATTTTAAAGAGGAGAAACAGTCTCTCTGTTACATAAAATCCGTAAGGGAAATTCTTGCCGCCCCGCCATTGTTACGTTATTGCGGCCTGGAGTAAACCTCATCAGCGAAACCAGTCGAGATAATTTCGACACCCTCCGTTGATCTCGACAAAAAATATATTAGTTATTATTCGCGACGTCGTCGGGCTTTACGGTGACGAGATTTTTCGCCCCTAAGGTCAGGAATAAATTCCCGGCGGTTCCCTTTGACATCGACGTAAGCACCCCTTGAAAATGCAAGGAATAGCGGGGGAGGTGTGGGGGCCGACGCGACGTGGCGATGAAAAATTCTTATAAAAGGATTCATAAATATTTAATGCCTCCCAGTCCCCGACGTAAACGTGCAATTAGATGGAATTCGGCGACGTCGCCACTCGTGACCACCGCGCGACTGACTTGTATATATATAATACATATATAGTGAAAAATATACACATAAAACGGACCAAACCTCTATCTCGCTCTATCTCTTGACTTTCATGAGGTTTTAATTGAGCGACTTCTCGTTTCTGGAGCTCCGCGCGAGGTTCGCTCTCACGGTTCAGTGCTTGCATCAACGAGGTACTTTGGTACTTCGGTACTTTTTAAAATTTAAATTACACCTCTCGCGCGAGACGCCTGGTTACTCCTGGCACAGAAGCCGCCTCGATATTTGCGGATTATTTTTGCTTTTTCAATATTTTTCATTGTTATTCTTTCTTTTGTAGTAACGTGGGTGCCTTTGCCTATCCAGCAGTTCCGTTCTCAACTCTCGATTAATTATCCGATGAAACTCTCATCGACCCGAATAGTATATGCATATAATAATGAAGCCCGGACGGTATTAGTTTTAATAACAAAGTTCGCTGGAGAAGAGTGTTGCGTGCGGTTTTGCGTTCGTCCGATATCAGAAATTTCGAGGAGAAATTCCGAAAACAATACCTCCGGTCACTCAATGTACCGAGAGACTGGGCCGGTATTAAAGTCTAGTTTAACCCAGTTGTTCCCGATAATGCAGTTGCACCTTGATGAACACCATAATATACCTGGCGTCCAGGTAAAAGCCATAAGGAAATTTGATGCAGGATGCTTGCACGTGGACTTCAGATTGGAGGTCTCATCGAGTTAATTCTCTCCATAAAATTGTTTAGACCGATTCTAGTGCCTGAGGATTTTTTTAAATTTCTGGAATTAATTTAGGAAATGTTTAACTCTATGAAATTGATGTCCATAAGTGTCAGGGCATAGTGTTTGACTCCTTGAACGAGACCTGAATTTTTTTTGCTACTCGATGGCAGGACGATTGCGATTCGGTCGGCGAGCCTCGACAAAGTTTGTCGTCGGTTGTTACTTGTTAATTTCGGAACCAGTTAAGTTTGGTTTACCGTACTAGGGCAGGTTGGATGTCAAGGAAATCTGTTTGGAGCATACTGGGAACCCAGAATACGATTCCGCAGGGCTAATAGAAACAGTTCCACGAGCGAAGCCTTTAGGGCGTGACCGAGATAATAACTTACTTCATGGAGGAAGATAGCGTGTACCCACGTACGAGTTACGGCTACATAAACGTTATCAATATCATTCGCAAAAGGTTTTCTTTTACGCTCCCTAAGAAAGGATTAATTGTTACCGAGCCGTCGCTTGCCCATAGAGATTTATTCCGGGCGTTAAAGTGCGGACGAAAGCGAGATTACCTCGAGATCGTCAACTTTGTTTCTGAATGCGTGTAACAATGGTGACACTTTGGTCACATTGTCCTCGTGGTGCGACTCGGAGTTCCTCCTTTGCGAGGAACGAGCTACCCTCGTTAAATGTTGCTCGCTGACACTTACCGCGTTTATTTCAATTAAAGGGATTGCATTCAAGCCGCAAAGCGCCGGGAATATTTGTAGAAAGGCTCGCAACTCAAGAGCCTCGAGCAGTATTTGCGCAAGTTACAAAGAATAAGAGAGAACCACTCTGCCGGGCAAGTAGTCCCAGTTGAGTATGGGCAGACAAGGACGAAAGAGTCCAAGGGAAACAGCGCGGCCACTGGTCAGTCGTCGGGTACCCTCCTCGGAAATCAGCATTAATTAATTTATAAAATGACTACTCGTTACCATGAAAAAAAAATCAAAACAAAAATTAACCCTTTGCACTCTAGAGGTGACTCTCGGTCACCACTTTCCTATATGCGAGAAATCGTCTCAAATTGTTGGGAAACCCCAGCAAAAAAGACTTCAAACGCAAAGGATTAACATACAAGTAAGCCGAGCAAGTAGTTCGAGCGAATATGGGCAGACAAAGAACGAAGAAGTGTCGGGCGCGTCACTGGTCAGCCATCGAGTTCCCCCCTCGAAATGACTATTAATCGTGAAAATCCTTTTATAAAATAATAGGAACTGTTAATTCTGACGCAAAAAAAAGAAACCAAACCCCCGGGCGGAAGTAGCAGAGGAACGAGTGAATTTTTTTAAATCTCCGGACGACGTCCCCCTAAGCCACCCCGCGGAATGAGGAAAAAGCACTCCACCGGATGTCTTCCTTTGTCCTCTAATCCGTAATACGACGTATTGTTCCAGCCAACTTGCAACCGAATTACATCCGCAACGAGAGGCAGATTACCGGGCGCGTCCTCGTCCATCGGCTCGAAAAGCCGAAAGCGAAATCGGCGAGGCTTGCGTCGTCCCGCCGGTGGAAAATGGCGGCCGTTTGCAGAGGCGCTTTAAAGTTCTCATTAAGCGATCGAGGTCTGTGGGACACTTCTGCGTCGCACTGTTCGCTTTGTTTGGTTGTTTACGCCGACGCGGAGGGGCGGTCGCTAGTAGGGTAGCTTTCATTAAGCTCGCATTGTCTCAGCGGCGCAGCCATTATAGCCGAGTGAATAACTCGGTGCCATCCCGCGGAGGTCTCCGGGCGCAATTTGACGGAGCGGCCGCAATTTATTTCGCGGCCGCGACATTAACGAGCCGAACGGCGCGCGTCCGCGGCGAAGCGGAGCGTCGGTCCGCCATTTTGCCGGCGGCCGAGCTTTCCGGCGCGAAGCTGCGAGCTTTTAATGAGAGGGAGCGAGACGGACCGAGGGCGGCCACCGCGAAAATCTCGACTGTTCGCGCCATTTAATTCTTACGCGGAACGGCCGCCGTACGGCATTGCGACCCGCCTCTTCTCTCTCTCTCTTTCGGTTCTCCGGCGAGCGGAAGAAGTCGTAATTCATCGCACGATCCACACGCTCGCCCATTTATCTCCCACTTTCTCTTCCTTCGGCGCCTCCTCGCCCCCGGCCCGACAGAAAGGATCGGAAGTCCTTCCTCTGTACGCCCGTTTTTTCCCCCGCCGCTTCCTTCCTACCTTCCTCCTCCGCCCTCTCCCTCGTATTATTAATATTACCGGCAATCGCCCGGGATTATTCCCGGTACTTGGCACTTTGTGCCCCCGGAATGGCGGATTTATTTCTGGGACCGGCTCTCGGCTGTCTTTTCGCGTCGATTCTGCCTTACGGTAACTAGACTTACGACGCTCGTCTTGTGCTTTACGGCCGACGGGCTCTACAGATCTTAGATCGAGCGGTTTATGTCCAAATTAAAGGGACGTTCATGGTCGCCTTCCGATCGCCCATCATCGGGCACCTGTGGATGGCCGATTATTCATTCCAAGACGTTCCCAAGGACGTTCCATTCCACCGGGATGCCGAATTCCGTGGGATAAATCCCGGGGAAGTCGTTTAACGCTCGATCGATCGCCACCCTGATATCGCTCCGATCGATGGGAGGCATCGATACTAATTTTTTAACGTCTGTTTCAGATACTCCGTCGTTCGCGATAACGCGTTTGCCCGGCTTCGGGATCCCGATCGTCGAGGGGATGTCCGTCAGCCTGAAATGCGAGGTGGACAGCAATCCATCGAGCACCCCAATTTGGCAGCGCGGTAAGCAAGCCCTTCCCCAAGTTTTCGCATTTATCGTCGGATATCCGCAATTTGCGAGGATTCACCCGTCGGCCGGCTCAAAACATGTCGCGGATACGAAGCTCTGTTTGGCCGACACGTCCGACGTCCGAAATAGCCGCGCGGCCGGCAACGAGCCGGAAATTGTCAAGTACTCGAACGCTAGAGTAATTCCTGCCGAATTGGCGCGAAACGCGGAAAAACGCGGCGGGGCGCGCGTCCCTGGCAAAATGAAATCCATAAAAGCGCCGTCCCAAGAAGACCGCGACCCGCCATGCCAAATGAAAATCCGCAATCCAGGCGCGAGCGCGGAGGAATATCGAGGAGCATTTTTTCCCCCTCGTGTTCATCTCGTTTGCGGTCTGTTCTGCGAACTTCAAAGGGGCCGCGGGATCTCTTTCCGGGGGAACGTTTGAAACGCCACGTTCCCCTCTTTTTTGGGATATTTTGGATGACACTATACCGCGTATGATACGCGCCGGTGTTTCCGCTGAAACATTCATTTCGAACCCCTCATAGGAGTCATCTTCAAACTCGTTGAAGAGTGAAAAAAATGTCATCAAACTCCTCCATAAAAAACGTCACTTACGGTGCTGCAAATCGGCCGCGCGCGGTTGACACGAATTCCGTGGCATGTCTGGTTGAGTGCCGGCGAAAAAAAAAGGAAAATGTTCGCTGGAGTCATCGTCCCGCGAATTTCGCATAAAGTGCCAGCGATCGAACCGCTTTGCGAGTTCGCGAAATTAGAGCGAAATAATAAAGTCCCATGACAGGTGGCCCGTGAAACCCTGACGAGCGGCCGTGTCGACGCGTTTCCGCGCGACTTCCCCCCGAGTTGCGGCTCGCCCAGGCCGGCTCTTTTGTGGGTTTTAACGATTTCGTCGATTTTGTTTCCACGAGCCCGGGAAATCGCGAAATCGCGTTACGGCTCGCCTCGCGATTCCGTCGACCCTGCCCGTGGGTTAAGTATTTATCCCGCGAAAACGGCAGCTCGGGATCACGCCGTGCCCATAACTCAATGCTGGCCGGGGTTATTCCCGTCAGAGCCACTTCTCGCCCGTAAAAAAGATTTATACACCCCCACGCAAATGGGCCGCGAAGGATGCGCCAGCCTCGCGATTTTCTTCGCCGACGTTCCGCTCCGATTTCCCAGATTTTATTTCACCTTCCCTTTTTCGGAATTTCGCGTCTCCTGGGGATTTACACTTCTTCGGAGCACTCGTACCCTGCTGTAAAAGGGATTCCCGCCAGCACTGGTATCCGTGCTGAGCGGAAAACGAATTTCCGCGTGCGTATTAATGGCCGCGGGTCCCGGAGGTCGGTATCGGCGACAGCGATATCGCACTTCAATATCGCGTGATTTACCTCGCAATTCGCCGTGCACGCGCGTCATTTCGGGGCTCGCTTCGCACTACGCCGTGGATAGTCGTAATTCAATCCGAGCTCGTACGATGGGCGGAAGGAAACCGCCGGTGGAAACGCGTACTCGCGGTCGCGAATTTGCCCCGCGGGCTCCGAAATTCTTCCAGGCCTAAGATATCCGAAATTAATCCGAGCTATTAAGACATCTCGCTGGGTTTTTCGTGCGCATCTTCAGAAATTTCACCAAGGGCCGAAATAAACCGCCGATGGAAACGCATCATCAAATTTAATCTAAATTTTCAAGAGTCTCGAATATGCTCGGATGATCTCCGAAATTCTTGAAAAATTTCCATTCCTAATATTAATTCCAGCAATTGATACGTTTCGTCGAATTTTTCATGAACGTCATTTGAAATACTGCGATGGGCAGAAAAAAACCGCCGATGGAAACGCGTCTTGGAATTTGATTTAGATCATCAAAGATCTTGAATTCTCAGGGACTGTCTCCGAAATTCATCGAGACCTAGGATTTCTATAATTAATTCCATCGATTGAAAAACTTTGCAGAGGTTTTCAGGTACGTTGGTCTCTAAAATTATTCTCAGCATTTCCAAAATGAATTCAAGCGATTAAGACATTTCACGGGGTCGGGCTGCGAGGTCGCGGAACGCTGTACACATATACGTATCCAAAGGAAGTTTCGCCAGTCCTCGATATTTCTCCGCGGTAATTAAATAGTTGCCGCGTACGTGGAAACGCGAATGTTTGGAACGCGTTCAAGTTTCGCCAAGGCGCTCTCAGGATGTGTTTACACTCCGTGAGTACTATCGCGAACAACGGCGGTACCGTTTCGGTCTGAATTTGGCTGCAATCTAAACATCATCTTGTCTCCCGTCGTCGTAGCCGCTCAAATGTCGCGATGGATCTATTCGGGAGGTCTTGCCGAGGACCTCTATACACCTTCGAAGTCCTCGGTACCTCCAGTACCATCGTGTGTCCTCGGTGCCTCGGTACCTCAAAGTCCTCGTAATCGCGATCCCTCATCCGAGGCTCCCCTCCCGGTTTAAAAATAATTTCCCAAAGTGGCCGCAATTACAAAATGGAATGGAATTAAAAGCAATTAAATATCGGGACGCCCGGCCGGAGTTTGAATTCGAGATTCGGAAGCTCGTAATAGATTTCGAGGCCGAGTTCGATTTTAACGATCGCGGCCGCGTCATCCGCCGTGTTAACCCGCCGACAGGAATCCGCCGAAGTATTGCTTTTTCGTTCATCCGGGAACAAAAAGAGAGAGGGAGAGGGGAAAAACAAATAAAAACGAACGTCGAGCCAGAGTAATACGCGGCGCTGGAATCGCGCAATCTCGGCGATCACCGGGACAGGTCGGTCCTCTAATTTCGCCGCCGACGGAAACGGCGGGTCCCCGAAAACGCATCGTCGCGTGTGCCGCGTATTCCTAAACAATGCTCGGGCGTAATTCAAGAAATGCAAATTCATGCCGCGGACTTTAGTGCCTTTTTATATTTGCTCACGTGCGCAGCTGCGGCTCGTAAAGCGGGCTCTCGCGTGCGGCGCGCCTCCATCTTATTTCCCGGCGAAACGTACGGTGGCCCTTATTTATTCTTTTCGCGGGCTAAACGCGGCGGAACGGTCGGTCGTAAAAATCAAAGATAAACAGGAGAAGCCCGGGGAAACCGCGCCGGACATTTTCGGCGGACGAGTCGATCGAATCGGGCGCGCGTTATCGCGGCCTCTGGTAATCGGACGTCGAGGCGCGTCCCCGGAATGCGGCGGTCCCGCCACGGAATCGCCGCTTCGGCGTGCGCGTTACGATCGACCCGGCCGACTTTACGGCCAGCGAAGACGTTCGCGCGAAACGCACGCGGACTCGGCCGCTGGGCGGAAATGGGCGGCTCCGATAAAACACACGGGCGATTTCCGGCGCGGCCGCCGGTCCCCGGGATGCCGGCGTTAACCTAGATTCCCGACTATTTTGCCGGCGCGCAACCCTCGAAATATACACCCGGTGCTTTGCGTAACGGGCTTCGCGAAGCGTTACGCACCCCCGTGCCGCAGGGGGGGGTCGGGATTAACGTTTATTTTCGCGGACGCCGCGGTAAACCTTTCGCGCCCCGACACCCCTGCCAGGTCCCTAGGGGTACGTTCGTTATCGCCGACTTCGAGATTAGAGGGAGGGCACATCTCGCCCCTCGTAAATTTTAACCGGTACTTCGGGCCCTGGTGCCGTGCACATTGCGGCCGTATATGCGCGCCTACGCCTCCGGTTTATGCGGCCCGTCAACGGAGGCGCCGCCCGCGATAGCTCGGTAATGTCCAAAGCCTTATTAACACGACGACTCGATTTCCAGAATCGGCCAATGCCACCCTCCACCCCTCTCCTAACAATCCAATTCCAATACCACGGCGAGCTGAACCCAAAATAAGGAAATTTGAAACTCTAAATAGCGATTTCAAAGTTCCCCACGGGTAGCGTCCACCTTTTCGGATCCAAAATGGCGGCATTCTCCAGTACTCCTCTTAACAAGCTCCCTGCTACGTAACGTAGATACCCGCCTCACGGTAAACCTTTAAACCATTTGAAGTTTTCGCTTTTAAAAAGACACGAAAGGCGATAAGAAATGTAATCGACATCGATATAATAAAATTCATCTATACCCTTTTTGGGGGGAATGCCGTTTTGATTACTCAAGTGGTAACATATGCTGGCGCGTCCCATTACCAACGTTTATATTTATGTTGGTCTTTTACAGTCTGCATTGAGAATTATACGAACTGAAGGGTTCTGTATGTCATTTCGGTAAAGTAATGATAAAAAGATCGATGTAAAACTGCCGAAGTAGTATTTACCACATTTTCCCATCTGACTGTAATATTCCATTTCTACTGTATTCTAAATTGTTCGAGCTAGGTCCTGAAACTCTTCATTTTCGATTCTAAGTCTTCAAGAAGCATAAAACATCGAAAACGTGCCCAAACCACGCTAAGTAGGTTCCAGTCCATGATACGTAAATAAATGTTTGATAAAAAATGAAATTTCATGAGTTTCAGGGCCCACTTTAGGGCTTCCACATTCACGTGGTAAAATTTGAAACGAATCTGTACACCAAATTCTGAAAATACTTTCCCCAACGATTTGATTTCTCAAATATATATACATAGCCTGACTCTTTCATATCCTCTTGACTATCACATTTTCATAAAATATGATAGAAAAATTTGTACAGATGCGTAAATATCAGATTAAGGAGGTTTATCACTACGTGGGGCGTACACGAGTGACACGTCCTAAAAGATTAAAATGAAAGTCGTCGAGATGTGGTCCGGAAAATATAATATCGAAATGTATGCCATGTCCTAAGTTGAAAAGCAGGGTAGGGGAAGAAAAGTCAATTCCTGGGGAGCAAGGACTAGTCGGGTTAATAATCCCAGGCGGGTCCTGTCGGCGGGTTCCGCGAAATCGAAATTGGCGTGCGCGGCTGGATTCGGGCCACCTACCGGTGAAGTGGGACGTCGAAGGCATAATGCAAAGTACGTCAAAGCCCGCGAGGCCCTTTGAATTTCTAAACAAAGCGAGCGGGGTCCGCTTCGAACCGAGCGCACAATGAAAGCGCACCCGTGAAAGGTGCCGCGCGGCGGCGCGACGTTCGCTTCTGTCTTTTTCCCCTTTTCTCCCGCTTTTTTTTCCCCACCCCCGCGCGAAGCTCATTCGGCGTCGGTCGAACTAGATCTTTACGAAGTGCCTTTTAAGTTGAAAGAAAAAGGGTTCCGGGATAATTAATAAATCCCGGAATGGATTTTGGTCCAGGGAACTGGGTCGCGCGATATATCCCGGGGGGGGGGCTCGTGACCAGACGGGGTGCGCGATTTGTTAATAAATTCCGGGATCCTACGGGTACATTGAACCGCGGGAACGGGGCTTCCTGATGCATCCGTGGCTAATCAAAGTAACAAACCCGGGAGATGGCGATCCGCGACTGAATGGTGCGTTAAACCCTCGTTTGACGCAGCGGGATTACGTCTCAATGCGGCAACCTAAGCTGACGCAAAACGCACCCCCAACGAGGCGATTTGGAAGTTCCGAGAACGATCCTCAGTGACCCCCGTCTAAGCCCTTTCGAGTATATTTTAGGAATTGAGACTCCGAGCTTCGAGACGCCGGGTGAAATTTCAAGATGGCCGCGGAAAGTGCCCTAAGAGGGCACAGAGTGGAAACGCGATGGTCGCCCTTTTCTCGGTTATTTTTTTCCCTTTCCCGGGGAACTTCTTCAGGGTCGACGGTAGTGACGGTGAAGACAGTAAAGATAAGTCTTTAGAAAGTGACGGGACAGTTTAGGCCCGTGATTCAATCCTCTGGAGTTATCGCATTAATATACAGAGGGCGGTAAGGGATGAAACGCGCGCGCCTGCCTGGCCTCGTTGATGCCCCGCAGAGGATGTGAATTAATCCCTAATTAGGCGTAACAGTCTCCTCCCTAATAGAATCCGCGAACCTCGGATCTTTGGTGATACGGAGCCCCGGGATTAGCTGTCGGGCTCGAAATGGGGGCGACGAATCCCGTGCCGTCACCTCCACCCTTGGCGTCCGTCTCTCCCTTTGAAGTAGCCGTCCACTTTGCGCCGTGCACCTCCCAGGACCCTCTCAACACCTTTTAAGGCCCGGTGGAAGCGAAAGTGTCCTAGGGCCAATTTAATAAAATTCGGTAAAATGCAGGGGGCCTTGGAAAAACCGGAATTATTCAATATAAACTCAAGACGAATTAACGACGCCTTTGGTTTCCTGTATTTCCTCCACCGGGATTTCCTTTAAAATTGGTCGGAAGGGGAGTTACCGAAATAACGAGCGGTCCCCTGATTAGGGAAGGGTCCTACCGAGGTAATTAGGTCGCTCGCTATTTGCGGGGTGTCCGTTTAAAGCCGTGGAGGTGTTCCTCCCGGGGGATGATGTCGTCCGATCAGATGCTGCCCGGGGGTGGAGTTCTAAATTACTTCCGTCCGTTAATGCTCGCCGATAAACCGGGCAGACGGAGAGATCGCTACCTTTACGAGCAACCTATCCGACCGACCGCGTAATCGACGAGCTCCGATAAACGCCGATTCGTGATGTCTCGGGGCGAGAAGGAAAGAGGGAAGTTTTAATGCAATTTGGAAGTACCGAGTCGCGGGTACCGCCGGGGTATGACTCGGTGCACTCGACTCCTTTGACGCGAGTGATAAAGCGGGAGAGAGAGAGGGCCCTCGTGCCTATCAGCCGATACTTATTATTTCATTATACTGAGTGCCCAGGGCCACCGGGGGGTGGCTCATCTATCTTTTGCAATTACTGCAAATTAGCGCGATGGATGTCTGGATGTCGAGACGTTGCGGGATGGAAGAGCTGTATAAATTCACTTACGGACCTCGAGGGGCCGAAGGGTTAAGCATATTCTTACTTTAACTATTCCACGGAACTTCCGAGTTAAATTGGAAACCATGCCCACGCAAGATTTCCCTCTGAAAGTATTATAGACATTTCTTAGAGTCGTATAAATTATGAAAAATATAAATCCTGATATTAAGCGCGAGTTTCAAATTTGAGGTGATTTTATCTCTTGGAGATCCTGCGGCTCCGGGCTCGGAAAAATTCACACAGGGTCTTTTTGGGGTCTCGGAAATATCCGGAGGAATTTTTCTCGATGCGAGGCATGTATTATATCCTGTTAAATATTAAATTATACGCTCTACCCCGATTGCAGGGGTTCATCGAATGTAAATACCGGGTCGTAGGAAGACCGACAGGGCTAATCCCTATTCATAGGTCCGATCGAGTGATTTCGGATAAATCCTTCGAGCCATCCCGAGATGAGTCGCAATTAAAATACTTTAATATCCTTCGGGACACGTAAGCGTCCACGTAACCCTTCTACGAGCCTCCCCTTCTCAGCTCGTTACGCTCTTATTAAAAATCCCATTCCTCCGAATTTCCGGCGTGGACCGAGCCAATTTCAAAGCGCGACGGAGCCGTTCGCTCAAATAGCGATTCGCCGGCTAGGGGGCGATTTCCAAATGGGAATTGACGGCTGCCGAGAGAAACTTCTTTCGTTCGGCTCAACGGGCCGATTTACTTCCCGCGCCCCTTCTATCTATATAACGATGTACATGACGGTATATCTATACATTCGGGTTCGGAACTGTCGGGAAAAAGTTCGATTGCTTATTAATCAAGAGCTCGTCGAGTCGTAGCTTCTCGCCTCGTAAGTCTTTTCATTACCGAGATCACTCTTAGCTTGGCTTCACCGCCCGTGAATCCGCCATCGCGGGAAGATAAATCGGAGGAACCGGAAATCGAGACTGAATTGCTTTTTTCTTTCTCCGTCTTTTATATGTACCTTCTTTACACCGCTGGGAGTTCAAAAACCCCTGAATAATAACCTCGACGCAAGTAGGAATTAGTCCCGGGGAAATTATGAATTTAAAAAACAATCTACCGGATTTTATTTCACCTGTCTAAAGTTTCTACAATTTTGCGACACCTTAGTGAAAATTCGATGCCACTTGATTTTATTTCTTTCCGCTGGTAAATTACTCGGATTTCACATTCGCGAGAAGGTGTCCACGGTTTTCGGCCAAGTCACGAGCAGCCGCTATTTCATGCACGGTGGAGCGCAAATTGTGCAAGTTTCGTTAAAAAGGGGGGAAAAAATCCTTCCGTGCCCTGGCAGCGCGACGAGCCCCTCTTTAGAAGCTCATAAACATTTCCATGCATTACAAGTAATCCGCAAAAAGGGGTCATTACGGACGGCGGTTTATTTTTAATACCTCCCTCCCTCTGCCCGAACAAAATGGATTACCTCCCCGTCTCTGGGGCATCGAATCGAGTTATACGAACATGCGGACACGTATCGGCGAAAAAAAAGGGGGATCACGGAGGAAGGAATAAATTTCCCGAGCGAAATTTCGACTAATGCCTCGCAACGCATTCCTATCGGTCGATTTTCCCCGTGTTTATCAAACGGTCTGTAATGCCCGTGATATTATGAATTAACAAACCCACGTTTATACAAATTCGGCATTATCATCGGCGTCGGGGGTTCCGCAGGCCTGCCGGAAACGCGGAATTAAATTCAACGCGTTTAACCGGAGACTGGATTACGCGGGCCCGGAAAACGCGTAATCTCTTTGCAGAAGTTTCCGCGAAGCCTTCCACGCCGCATTTGCGGGTCGAAACCGCGTCGCTTTGTTTCCAGCCCTTCAATAAGCCACTGTGGGTAATATTTAAATACGCGCCACCGAGGGATGAATTTCTGACCCTATTGTAGAATTTCCATTCTTCGAGCCGCGGCGGATTTGCATGAATATTAGATGGTAGATTAGGAATTCACCATCGACCGATATCCGCGGATCGGTTGTCACCCATGGGCTGGAACCTGGGTGACATCGATTACTCGGTTATGCCCTCGATGCGATCCGATGCAGCGCTTATGCACCTCGATGCAAGCCCCCTCATCGGGGGAGGAAAAATCGAGTAACGTTTATTAGACGTGCACGATGACGTTAATGAAGGCGCGCGCGATATCGAGCGGAATTCGCCCGGAGAATCGACCTGGGATTTAAATCCGTCTCGTGCGCGCGCACCCCGGGCGACATTAAAATGGAAATTAAAACCCGGTATTAACAAGGGCACTTGATGCATTAAATAATTCCCGCGGTATAGGTGGAATTTTTCCGGGGCTTGGCCGGCCGGCCGGGATTTTCCCAACTCTCTGCAAATCGAGCCAGTTCGATCATTGATTAGCATTGCACGCCCACGCGTATGTTGCAGACAATGGATCGCCGCCGGTGGAGCAGAGCGACGATGGCTGGTTGAATTTCACAAAAATCACCCGGGAGGAGAGCGGCTGGTACAAGTGTTACACCTTGCACATGCTGAACATTTTTACGAGCATCGGATACTTCCTGAACGTACGCTGTGAGTACACGTGTCTACCTTCGGCCGGGTTTTACGCGCTCTCCGCGTCCCCCGCCTTTTCCGCACCCCTCCGTGCCTCGTTAACGCATTCGCGGAGGGAACCTGAGTTTCGACGGAAACGCGCCGCGATTAACCCCGCGGTTAACGCTCGACTTGACGAACCAAGAGCGGAATGACGCCCTCGAGATCGGGCTGATGATCCTGGAATTATCGATAACCATGACACTCGGTGCACTGAGAAAAGACCTCACTGAATCGAAATTGCAGAAATTCTCTGAATAGTACCAAAGGAATGTTTTGTCGATTCAAAGAATAATTATTTCACTCGAGATCGAATTAATCGGGCGCAACGTTCTTCCGGAATTGCGACAACTTATTAGAGCCAAATTATTCTTCGCATTAAAATATATATTTCTTTGGTACTATTCATGGAGACATTTTCTTGCTGTCATGAATTTCTTTCCTCGGGGTAGGGTAAATTCGACTGAGGCGAAAGTAAGACGATAAGTGACATTTTGGCAGGGGGTTTCATTTTTCTATGTTATTTCACAATGTCAACTTGTTAAGGATGCATTAGTGTCGCGTGGATTTTCCCGTTTTTTTTTCAATTTTCGAACAATTTTTACAAACGACTCTTAGGTGTCGGGGGAGATTTGCAATGAGCGAGCAGAGGCCCCGCGATAACGTCGAATTACATCCGGCAAATTTCCGCAGCCACGTTTGCATATTGTACGATCGGCCGGACCGCGGCGAAATGCAATATGGATTCGTAAAGTGCAACCTTATCGGTTCCCCGCAGAGCCAATGAACGTTTGATTAGGTCCGGTACTTCGTTATTCGAAGCACGGTGCAGCGATCGCGATGCACTCCGGCCGCGCAAGTATCTGCAACCTCTGTCGGCCAGTGAAAGCGCAGCTCGTCGTCCTGATGGAAAAGCTTTGAACTTTCGCATTACGGGATATTTTTGCTTCACGGTTTCATCACGGTAATTGTATCCGGGGAGTCGATTATTACTGTCAGCGTGGCTTTTCGAAATACTCGCTCGCTCGTCATTGATACGGTTGTCGGGATCGATTCGACCCTTCGATATCGCCGGCATCATTATCGAAATTTCACCGGCGGAATCCTCAAAAGGTAGGGGAAAGATGTTAATTATGCAACTGCATTACATTAATCACCCCTCTACTGGGCGACTGAAAAAATTTATCGCGATTACGCCATCCGCGTTGCTATTACCGTAGACAATGCCTTACGTCCATATAAATAATTCTTCCCCATGAAATGAAATTCGCAAACAAAATTTCCGAGGTTATCGGCGGATGGGATGCCTCTGAATTTTCAAGATATCAAAGGATCGATAGATTTCTTGTGGCGCTCCAATTTCGGGGAGTCAGCATCCACGTTATTTCATCCCCTTACCAATAACCCACGTCGTCTCCATGAATAATTCCTTCCCACGTCATAAAATTAGCAAGAAATTTCCAAGGTAATCAACGAAAGTGGAGGGAAAAGGGATGCCTACCGGTTTTGGGGAAATCAGGGAATCGACGGATTTCTTGAAGCGTTCCGGTTTCGGGGGCGAAATCAGCATCCGCGTCCGCGCTGCCCGGAACAATGGCGAGACTCCGGCCAGAGGCGGCGCAGCGCGGAATGCCGAAGCGATTCCGATAATCGGAAACCGCAGTCATTTGTCAGGAGCGGAAACCGCGGTGCCAGCCGGAAATTACTCGCACCGCCTCGCGAAAATTTGCGAATTTCCTCCCGACCTCCGGCGCCCCCGGTGCCCTCTGGCGCCAAAATATCCTCTCCTCCTTTCGTCCTCCCTCCGCGTCCTTCCTTTCCCATCCGTCGATCCGCAGGATCCTGGGGGGCGCGGAGGATACGGAGGACAGGAGAGGATACGGGCCGCCGAGCGCCTAATCTCTAAGCAATTTAGATGGCTCCGGCATAAGCCCGGGATCTTCCGAGTGGAGAATTATCGATTACGAGCGGCGCCCCCCGTGTCCTCCAATCTCGCAGGGGTGGTCGCTTAAGCCGCCAGGGGATTCGACGCGACCCTCTCGCGGGGACTCCAGTCTACCCCACTAATTATGGGGAAATAATTTGGAAACTGATATCGACAAGAGGAAACCGATCGTGAAAGCGCCGCTTCAATCGTTCTCATTATTTAGGATGGTAACTCTGGCAACCCGATTATAATATTTTTCATTTCCCCCCTGACGCAGGGGATTGACTTAGTTTCTATCCATGCCTTGCCCATGTGGAGTCACACCGTCGTGTCGATTAATAAATCCCTATTTCCGTCTAAAGTTCTCTCTTAACTCATATTTGACATTTCTTAATTTAATGTCAGGAAAAATTGAATTATGAATAGGACATTCAGATAAGGATGTTAACCTTGAGTAAGTTCAATGCCTGCGTATCTAATAATGGTTTTAAAAAATTCCGGAAAATATATATTAGACTAGATTGGATGTAGATAGTCTTTTTTAGCGACAAAACAAACGCTCTCGAGCGCGCGGTTCGTCTCGTGATAGAAGAGACGCCGTCAAAGTGGAAAGGCTCAGGCTGTAGTCAGGCAGGCGAAGGATATCGACAAAAAGTCCAGACGAAGGTGGGTACATATCGGAGGAGACTTCGTATATCGAGCCCATCGTCTCCTGCTTACAGGGAGATTACAAAGGAGCCCTGTGATAAGCGGCAAGCGTGCCGATTCGTTATCGTCGGCGTCCACGCTTTGATCCCTTTGTTTTGAAACGGGACGAGCCGGCAGATCAGCTCGCTAACTCAAAGAGTTACGTCCCCCTTCCAAGCTTTCGATCTCCCCCTTGGAGGAGTCGAAGCCTCCCTCGGCTACTCCACCACTTGCGAACGGGTCTTTCGATTGCGGCCCGGAAGAGGACGCCGACATCCCGGTGGACGTCGACGCTCTAACCGGAAGACAAACAATCGCCCGGGAATAATTTCGAGGGGGGTTTCGGGAGCGCGGGAGATTCGATGAGCTCCCGGTCCCTCGGGACCTGCCTTCCATCCGGATCGGGAGCACAGGTGATGGATAAAAAGGGTCGCGAATCGCCGCCGGAACTTGTTCCCCGGAAATTTTCACTGGGGGACCGGAACATCGAGATCTATATCTTCCTGCCGAAGATAGGGGGAAAAATCTGAAAACTCGGTGAACTTCGGCTTTCACGTATAAATCCCGGCATTTAATAAATTCTATATCATAGCTCCCGATAATACAAAATATGGGAAAATTCGTTGAAATACGGTGTTCGCGTATAAATCCCGTCGTGTAATAAAATATGGTTTATCATATCCGCGGATACTCCGAAATGGGGGAAAAGTTGTGGAAGTTATGAAAATTGTGAAAATTCTTTGAAGTACGTGTCTCGCGTATAAATCGCGCCTTGTAGTAAATTATTATTTATGATTATCGCAGATGATCCAGATTTGGAGACGGAGGCGGAGGTGCTGAACGGAGAGGCGACGGATTCCAGAAAAATGGAGATCCAGATCGGGGGAGCGGTCACTCTGGAGTGCGACGGGGGATGCTGGGGACATGGACCAGGGATGGATCCCGTGGGAGGACCTGGACCCCTGGCCCTGAGTCGCGTGGTGTACCAGGAAGCCGGAGAGTATCGGTGCGTTGCGCCGGATCGGAAGATGCAGGACACCTGGCGGGCCCAGCTTCCGTACCACATCAAAGTCACAGGTAGATCTCTCAAAAAGTACCTCTTAAACTCCAGGAGAATCGTGATTCGCGAGGGGTCTCCCCCATGCACTTCATTTAGCGTGAGAGCTTTAGGTCATTTCGGGGGCGTTAAAAAATTCCCTCGAAATAATGGAAGGTTCCTTTCTTTTCCTTTTTTTTTTTTACGAGCTGGCGACGAGTTTCCCACCGAAGAAGGGAACGGGGATACAGCGGGAAGGCTTTCCGGCGAAAGATGCGAGAGACGCGAGATCTTAATAAAAGATGTGGGTTCATTCCCGGTGCACTCCACCCCACTTGCCGGCTTCGTTCAACTGCGGCCCGAGGGGTGCATCGGCGCGTGGAGCACGTGCAAACGTAGGTCAGATATTTGCTTAGGAAACGCTCCCGTGTATACGCCCGCCTCATATCCCCCGCAAATTCCCGCGCCAACCTGTACGGGAAGAAAGTGGGAGCCGGAGAGGAGACCTTTTTATTTGATGACAGTCCCGAGAGCGAGGGTGCAGGGGGTCGGTGAATAGGGAAGACGGAGGCCCGGCCAGGGCTAGTCGCGTTGCAGGTGCATCCGCAACGTTGTTCTTCCTCGTCTTCTAGTCTCCCCCACCAACCCAGAGTGAGAAACCTCAAACGGATGTGGCCAGATCGCGATAATTCTCTCTTCCGCGTACGACTTTCTCGCCTACCAGTATCCGGTCTCCTCGTTTCCTTATTTCCTTATTCCTTTATTTCCGTATTTCCGTATTTCCGTATTTTCCTTATTTTCTTATTTCTGCATCTTCCTCTTCTTCTTATTTCCTCGCCATCTCCATCCCAGTCACTCGGAACCGGGACACGGGCCGAGCCTCGTCGTGGACCTCCTCGGCCCTACTTTTTTCTTCTCGCCTTACTTTCCTGTTTTCCCACCTCTTCCCCCCCTCCCCCTCGTTCCGTACTTCCTTACTTTCCTACTTGTCGACTTCCTCGCTTCCTTCCTCACAGTCGGCTCCCAGGCTCGTCCTGGCCATCTCGGTTTCCGCGTTCCCGATCCTCGCCCTCGCTCTCTCTCTCTGCTTCGCTCCCCCGCCTCGGCCGCGAGTGGGACAAGGAGAGCGAGTTTATGATGCGGAATGGGAATTGGTGCGTCGTAAAGCCGGGGCGCGGCTTACGTCGACGACATATTGGATGATTCGAGCGGCGGCGAGCGACGCCGCTCGATGGAACAAAACGGTATTGGGAATCGAGCGAGCCGCATCGCGATTTTAGTGCGCCCGTGTGCGGCCTCCACCCCCGGCGGATCCGCCGCATCCGCCGTTCTTCCCCCGCGTCCCCCGAGCGGGGCTCCCTTTTTACCGCCCTTCAAAGGCTGCGCCCTGGGGCTCCGTGCCCGCCGGTAAACTCACTTTCCGAGGTGAACGCCGGGGAACGATCGGGAACGGACTTGGGGATTCTCTCTGCTCGACGGGGACGACCACCCCCAGAAGACGCTCCACCCCCCTCGCGGAATCCAAAGGGTGAATCCCATTTAGACACCCCTCGACCCGAAATTAAAGGCCCCGAGAGGGAAGGTACGGAGAGGATATCTCCGGATATTCAGCGAAAGGAACTAAGAGATTTAAAAATAATTCACTACATCTCATGTGGTCCAGCGGCCTCTTTCGACCGGAAAGGCAAGAGAATTAAGAGAGAAAATTTCTAGATTTTAGTTAATTAATTTTATCCAGGGGGAATAATTCAGTAGATAATTCAATGAATTCCAGTGCGCCCTTTCGACCGGAAATTAAAGATATTTTTACGAAGATCACGAAATATATAATTAGAAATCAGATCCGGTGGAGCTTGAAAATAATTCAATGTATTATTCCATGTGTACCTGCGCAGTTTCGATGTGAAATTGAACCTTAGCGGAGAGGATTTCTAGATATTTGGATAACAATTTGCATCCGGTGGGATTTAAATGTAATTTGATATGACGTTTGGAACAAGTTTCCGAGGATAAAACAAGAAATGTCGAGAGGGGTGATTTTCGCCTCGGGAAAAGGGACAATTTCTCCCTCGGGGTTGCTTCTCCTCTTGAAGGCTCGGCGAAACAAATCCTGCTTTAGGGATCCGCTTCTTCTCACAAGTTAAGACATAAACCGCGGCGGTTATATAAGGCTATAGGGCTGAAATTGCCTCTACAGATAGTTCGTTTCATAAAATGAGCATCATAAAACCCCCGGGATGTATTGACCGAGGTCGCGCGAGCCACAATGCAAGACACGCGAGGGGGTGAGTCGCATGAAAGTCGAAGGGCCAATATGCCGTAACCTGTGCCACCCCCTGGGGGAAGTGTCCATCCCCCCACGACGCGTCGCGGAGTGCGGACCGATTAATGGAAATTTCGACCCGCTGACCTTAATTAGAGACGATCGATCGCTTCGGTTCTAAGATGGAGTAACGAATGCACCCCTCCGAGTGGGGGTGGCGATAAATCGCTGGGTGAGCAGTCCGGTTTTCGCGTGCCCCCGAAATAATCGCCCCTAATGGCTCTCGTTAAGGGTCGACGTGTTCCTCGCTCGCTGGCCGCTAATTACCTTTTAAATAAATAAATGAGAATTAATCGGCGGATAAATAAAGTATGGAGTAATGCTCGAAATTTCGAGAGGGGGTTGGAGCGTCTCTCGGACGCGCCGGCCTCACTCTTTCCCCCTTTCCCCCGATAATTCTCTCAATAAAGCCGATGTCTCGGGGGCTGAAATTCCCGAGAAAAGTGGTATATTAATTTACTAGATTGCAGGGGAAGCACCGCGCACGGAATTCCGCAGGGAAAACTGCAGCGTATTTGCCCACCGCTCGCGATCCCGATAGAGGTTAAGTAGCCGCCGACTGCTCCGGGGGTGGCTCGGAATCCTCTTTAATTTCGGCATAACGATACCCCGGGCTCGAATTAGCAAGGGTGGTGGACAAAAAAATTCGCCCGCGATTCTTTGAGCAGAGAGTCGATCATTGTTACGGGGCGCAATTGTCACCCGGGGGTGATCGGGACTTTTATATGCAGATATTTCGAAACTGGATCGACTGAAGGGTTTAACAGGATTTCCATGCGGAGCGGAGTGACACTAGAGGGGCTGGTACTTGTGCAAATCCCGCAATTGGGATCCTCTGACTCGGGTAAATCGCGAATTATTCCTTGAACTCGTTTCTGACACGATTTTCGGAGAGCCTGAAAAATGGAAATAGTCCCGGGGAGGTATTCCACGTTTTAAAAATATCCGATTGGTTTTTTTAAATTAAACTCGGTCCGGAAAAATTCTAGGCTACTAGAATTTTTGGGTCAGGCTGCTCGAAATTCTATCGCGGTTCTTGAAAATCTCTCGAATTTACCCGTTTTTCTCGGGCCAAATAAAGCTGTCCGAGTGAAGGAGGAGTTAATATTTAAATCGCAATTATTCTTGCCGAAACGTGGAGCGCAGTCTGAGCTTTAAGCCGGATACGAGGCAACAGAAAATTATCCGAAACTAAATAAGTTAAATTTCAGACATCAATAACTGCAACCTAGTATTCATTAGGCAACCTAACAGTAGAAAATCAAGGTGCCGAGTCGATAGGTCGAAAGAGGGATTCACCCCTTCGGTATCTTCAGGAACGACGTCCGAAGGGCGCTCCCACGGTCCGATGTATCCCCGTTGGAGCCGTCCGCAATCGCACTTTCTGATTTCCAATAACTCACTTGACCCGGACGGAGCAAAGAACCCCTTTGAGAAATGCGGGACTCCGAGTTTTCTGACAGCCCTCGAGGGACGAGCCGAGATTGAAATATGCGAGACACGGTCCCTCCGATCGCGTCGAATCGCCGGTCCCACGCTCGCGAGAAAAACTGGAGCAATCGACGACTCGTATCGAGGAGGCGTCCAATGACGCGCGAAATTGATATCCAGCCCGTTCACATTAAACATCAGCGATTTGTATTTGGTTCCGATCGCGAGCCCGCTCGCTCGGAAAAGCTTCTCTAGACCAGGATTTAAATCCCGGCGCTCTCCGCAGGAAGGTGGGGTTGAGTCTCCCCGCGGAATTTTCAGCCAATTTTCCGGGGTGCCTTAAAAATCCCAATTTATCTCGAAATAGAGTGGAATTTTGAAGAAACGGCCGGCCACTTCTTTACTGGGATTTTGCTGGAAATCCGGAATAATGGCCGGTATTTCGGCGCTAATTGAAAGCCCCTGGTGATGCGTCCCTCCCAGCCTCCTCCCTTCTCATCGAAGGGGTCGCGTAACGCTCCGAAACGTACACCAGAGAAACGGGGAAGTTCAAAGCTGCCGCCCACTAAATTTATTAGATGCTCCCGGATAGGGTAGGGTGTGATCCGCCGGCAAAGTTTCGCGAGTGTGCAGCGTGTTTGCGATAACTCCGCACTAGCGGCTTCTCTCTTCCACCCGCTTCCCGTCCGCGCGCTCCGTCTCTCTCGGCCGCCCCTCGGAGCTAAAACGCCGAAACTGGGAAAGCTCTACCGGGCATAGACATTTTGCGAGGCTTTGCTACGAATCCAGGGTGGCTGCCATTAAGGAAACTTAACTCCCAGCCCGGGAGATCGATATCCTGGAGGAGACGATGGCCGACGGAGTACCTGGAGGAGTACCTGTGCTCGCGAGATGTGGCGCCGATTTACATGCGACATTTATTTTTATCTTTTCCCCGGTCGGTAAAAATCCCGAACACCCTGGAGCGCGAGACCCTGCCCCGTAAAATCCGGTCCACCTGGGCAGTCTGACAATGGGGTACCCGGCGGTAAAGGACACGAGCTTCGCCATAGATTGCGCCAGGGAAGATATATCCGCGCGGTGCGGACGACGGGGAAAATTCCTCACGGTCCCCGATCGCCGGATTCTCCTCTTCTCTGTGCAGGGGAACACGGAACACGGGTTCCTGCACGAGGATATACGCCACACGGCCGCTGTCGGTTTTAAATCTTCCCTGCAGAGCCGATACTGTCGATGGCACGCGCGACCGCGCGCCATTGTGCGATACTTCTCGCATATCTCGCGGCG